ACTGTTTATCAGGGAGATCCTTTTGGGACACAAAAGCTTAGCATGCCCTCAGAGTTCACCTGAGGCTATAAACATTTCCCATCTTTTCTATAATCCATCTATCTGATGTTCCCGCCAATATATTTGAAAAGTGTTTTGATTCATGATTTTGTTCTATAAAAATTTCATGAAACAATTTCCACATTGGAACCTGAAATTTATGGCAACTGAATCTGTGTTTATAGGCTGTGGTCACTCCTATTTGAATCCAGAATGAACTATTTCTTACTCCTTTTGATACAAGAGCTGATGCCTCTGTGTGCATGAAGAGCTTAGATAAAATTCTTTTGGTCTTAGTCATCCTACATTTAGTTGGCATCTGGGAATTTCAGAAAGCATTCTCTGTCATCGATGATAGCAAATGCCTTTCTTCTGGTCTGAGCCAAGTAGGTTTGGATGAAACTATCTTGCAAATTAACCAATGGTTGGAACCCCAGATCCCTTTGGATCTTACCATGTTAGAAGCTGACAAACCAATTTCCCGATGCTTGAACACTTTCCTTGATGAACTTAGTCCTACGCTTGTGGGAAGTGTTGGAATTCCTCAGCTTTGCTGTAACCTATACATCTGATGCTTCCACCAATGTATCTAAAATGTCTTTATTTATGATTTTCTTTTTCTGTTATTACAAAAACTTCATGAAACTGTTACCTCTGAGCCCAGATGAAATCAAATAATTGAAGAAACTAGTATATTAATTCCCCAGCTCCATCATTGAGTTACAGTGAGTCTGAGGTGTGGGTTCTATATAGATTCTAAGAGTCTTTCAAGGGTAGTAAAAGCTCCCTCCACCTGAAGTGCTAATTAGCTTAGTGATGTTCTCTACATTGCCACCTGGACTTTCTCTGCTTCATCTTTACAAACCCTTAGCAATGTTTCTTGAAAGATGTGGCAAGGAAGCATGGCTCTCTGACTGAAGAGGTCCTCCTCCTTCAGGGAAGGTCATTTTCTTAGCTGGAGCACACAGCTTCAGGAGGGATACATGTGAGGGAGGAAGGGGACATACACTTAGCCGGCCAGATGGGCCAAATCAAGCGTGACAAGCAATGGTGTGACAGGTGTCTCCACCGGATCACCCTCACATCCATTATTACTGGTGTTTCTTAAATCATCTCTCATGAAAGCTGCAAAAAGTTGGAGCCTTATTTTAGGTTATTTTTCTAAGATATTCATAACATGAACCTAGAGCTGTCATGCCCTGGACCTGTGATTCTTGGTACCTCAGGGGTCAGAGCCATGAGCACGGCAAAACTGGATAGATGAACACATTTGCACGTGGTGTAAGAGTCGTTGCTCTGCACATGAATACAGCCGTTGGTTGACCAGGTGCCCCCTTCCTCTGATCCTTTCCAGTAGACACACAGATGCTCTGCCTTCATGTCGCCAGGCTGGAAAGACAAGCGTGGAGCATGAGAGGGCAAATACTTGGCTTCAATCTCCAGCTCTAATTTATTTATTTATTTACATGCAAGTTATTAGATACCACGATGGCACTTTTGAACAAGTGTACTGAAATAGTTTCTCTGTTTACATCTCCCCCGGCACTCTACCCTTTCTCTGTTTGTCCCCTTTTAACCTACCCATATCCATATTATCTGACACACTGAATTGTAAAACAGACTGAGGGAACATCTGTGAGTCATTTCCTATCACCACACCTCTTAAAGTGTTTAGTTTTTCATCTTAGTCTCTATTTCTATGGATATCTCAGTGTCCCATGCATGGACTCAGAAGAATTGTCTCAACAATTGTCTTTATCACTGAAAAAGAATCAAGGAGGACTGGTGGGCAGAGGTCATGCTTGAGGAAAGAGATGTCAAGTGTCTTTTTCCAACCCCAGGTCTGTCCCAGAGCCGTCTGGAAGAGCCAAGTCCTCTCCTGTACCCCCCGCACTCAGTGTGTTCAACTGTCCTCATGAGCCCATTGCTGGTTTAGGCTTCAGCATGATAAGTTTCCTGTCATGGAAATCCACAGGTGACTCAGCACTTTTTCTAGCTTTATTGAGGTGTGACTGGGAAATGAAAGTTGTATAGACTTAAGCTGTATCATGTGATGTGTCCATGAATGTGTACATGCAAAGGTTACTGCAAGCAAGTGAATCAACACAACTGTCATGCCCCAACCTATGTTTTTTTGTGATGGAGTCTTTGGAGAGCTACTCTCAATAAAATTAGTGGGAATGCAAGGATGCTGTGTATCAATTTTCTCTGAATTGGAAGATTCTATCCTGGGGGGAAGCTCCTTAAGAGTCACTCAGAAAGTTTTAAAGGGAGGCTTGTAGAGGCTCAGGTGGTAAACAAGCCAGAAGTCTCAGGAATTCCCTGAAATTACCAGCTGCACAAGGCCACTCTCTTCCTGGCCTTATAGAAGCACTAAGGGTCTGTTGAGGAGAGCGTCTTTGACATTTTTAGAGATCTGCAAGTTGTGCAGAGAGTTCTAGCATTCCACCTTTCATGACTTGTCACCCATGCTAAGGTGGTCTTTTTGTGATGTAGCAACCTTTGAGTCATCCTGTAAGTAACCTGTAAACCATCCTGTAAGTAACCCATCACCCATGTCTAAATAAACTTATTGGTTCCTAAGTTGGACTTTAGTGGTGCTGTTACTTTGCTCTGTCATCCTGTCTGGGGTTTGTTTGTTCATGTCTCCCCAGAACAATGTCACACATCAGAGGAGTGTAAGAGATGCTAATAGAGGGGGTGAAAATGATCAAAATACATTGCATACATGTATGAAAATATTATAATGAAAATCATTACTAGGTATAATTAATGTATGATAATAAATTTAAAAATTCAAGATACATTCTTGATAAGTATTATTACTATGCAACATGCTAAGTCTCCAGAACTTTATTATTTCATAACTTAAAATTTGTATATTTTGACCAATGTATATTCATTTCTCCTAGGTCCTTATCTTCTAGTAACTCCCAGTTTTGCCAGGACTGTGAATTTCACTATTTTAGATTCCCCATGTAAATGAGATCATGAAAGATCTATTAGACAACTCGTATTATTTTATTAAGCAAAGTGTCCTCTAGGTTAAGGCATGTCATTGCAAATAGATTACTTTCCTTTAAAGGATACATAATTTTTTATTATAACTTCATATTTTACTTATCCATTGATCAGTTTATAGTTTACTTTTTCCATGTCTTGGCTGCTGTGGATATTGTTGTGGTCACCATGGAAATGCAATCTCTTTTCAAAATTTTGGTTTCAGACCCTTTGGTTCTGCACCATGTAGGGGGTTATGAGGCCCTTTCACAGTTTACCTTCCATTCCTTAAGGCACCACTGTAGTGTTTTTCACAATTTATATATTAACTGATATTCTCAGTTACAGAGTGCAATGATTCCCTTTTCCCCACATTCTCCCCGATACATATCTTTGAACTAAAAAAAGTTTTTAATAACTTTTACTGAACTTGTTCTTCAGCAATTTCACACACATGTAAAGTTCATTCTGTTTATCACCCCTCCCTGTGCTGTTTTCTGTTCTGTTTGTTTTGATACCCACTGAATTTAACGGGGATCATCTGTGTGACCAGTACGCATTGGAGACTGTTGGGCACCTGAGTGGGTATACAACTGACGATAATAACTTCCTCTCCTGGAATCCATCAGTAATCAATACTTCCATAGGGAGGGGTAGGACCCCATGGACCCCTCTCTGATCCATTATTGACTGTTGACAAACAGGTAATTGAAGCTGCCTCAACAATTTCTGTTCTCTTACCTTTCAATGGTTGTAGTTGGATTAAATTTCCGTCGGCAAATTTGATTAGACCAGATGTCCATTTAAGATACTTCACAGTGGACCAGATTTAGGTTCTGCTTACCTGAGTCTTTTGTAAAGTCAGGAGTACAGGTTCAGAAAGTTCACCTTTGACTTCCGAACGAATGGTACCACTCACAACAAGAGAGTTCAATTTTACTTCCTGCATCCCTCCTTCATTACTAAAGAAGGATCCGTTCAGAAATGTACCAAGTGTTTGATATGCAATAAGAGCAACTGCACTCTCATCTGAGAAAAGAGAAGGGGAAGATGGGAAGATGTCCGCAGTTCAAACAGCAGGTACACATGCGCGTTATATGGGTCATAAAATAAACAGGATGTATCTATTAAAATCACCCCAGGAAATTTCATAAATTGCACATGTAACACACAGTAAATAGTGTGGAGTACAGAAGTTAGTTCCTCTCTCTAACTCTCTCTATATATAAAAATGCATATATTTATATATTAAGGATTTATCTGTCTATCTATCATCTATCTATCTATCTATCTATCTATCTATCTATCTATCTATATTATGCACATATAACATAATTCTCTACACTTTATAAAAAATATATATGAAAAACATGGTTAGCAATTACTTGTCCTCCAAAGGGCAGGTGAACTACAAAAGACTTAATTCCTGCTTTACATCTTAAGTTACTTCAAGCTTATCTAGTAGAGCAGAAATTCTCTAGATTACGTGTACTGAGTTCAAGATTGCATGTGGCAAATTCTAATGCAGCTTTTCTAGTCCAGGAAGCCTGACTGGTAGCCCTCTTTAGAAGGAGACATCACCCAGGGTCTGTCATACTTGCCTCATATCCAGCTACAAGAATGTAATATGGACTAACAGATTATACATTTTAAGAAAGGGTCAAAGGAGACATTTAAGAGTATTAAAAGTTACCCACAGGCCAGGGGTGGTGGCACACACCTTTACTTCTAGCATTTGGGAGGCAGAGGCAGGTAGATCTTTGTGAGTTTGAGGTCAGCCTGGTTTACATAGCAAGTTCTAGGCCAGCTGTGGCTACAGGGAGACCTGGTCTCAAAAAGACAAAAAAAAAGTTAACCCACAAGGAAGCTGAGACCCTCCCTAACAGATGATAGAGGATGGTTGCCTTCCCTGATACATGAGGGCCAATATTAACTCCAAAGGTTTTGTGGATGGTAGGTCCTGCACAGGCAGGATAAGATTAACCAGATTGCATGCAAAACAATTCACCAAGGTCACAGGTATTAAAGAGTCACACTGGCAAGAGTGAAAAATCCAAATAGGCTCCACCTTCTTACAGATGCTAATAACACGGATGAGATATAGGATCCAGGTCATACCAGAGCAATGGCTAATCTGGCAAGTCCTTTTCTGTCCTCATGGATGGTCATGAGGAGAAGAATATAAGGGAAATTCCAGAGGACACTCTGGAGGGCAAAACAAAGGAGATTTTGGAGATGCTCCAGTATATGTTCCTTTTGTCTTACAGAGGGATAACAAGGACCCCACAGTCTGTATTCATTTGACCCAGAATCTCAAAGAAAAAATGTTTGATGATTTTCTTCACTCAAGCCCAGCCTAAAGTTAAACTGGAGGATTAAGAGTGACTTCTTATGAGAAGTCTAAGTATTATATTGTCCTACAACTTGATCTCTTCATAAGAAGGAAGGTACTCATTTCATTTTCCAGTTTGTGTGCCTCCATTTACAGACACAAACTACCTGTGGAGCATCTGGTTACCCCAAATATAGCCAATGGGGATCTCAGGTTAGACACTGATAAAAGGAGATGCTTCTATCAGCTTGATCCCCCTTGAACATGAGTGCCAACTACCATATGCTTGAGACGTTGTATAATTTAAAGATAACAGAGGGTGAACTTTCAAAATCAAGTCTTCTGTCTGTTGTCAATTACGGTTCCCAACGCAAGACCCAGCAGATGATCAGGTTCAGATGCTTTAGATCTAACCAGTTGTCACCAGACTCAATAGCAAGACTCCTGTCCAGTGTAAAACACAGGGTTCGGTTCTGCAGAGAAACAAATGTTTTTTTTTGTGTGTGTACTTTGTCATATGCTCTTGGAACTCACTGAGAACTTGACTCTGGAGATGGGATCTGCCTCCCCCCTACTTCAGACCCAAGCATGTTTGTCTCAAAGTGTCCTCCAAAAACCCTTTTCCTGAGTCATGCTGACTCCTTGACTCTGTGAGAGGGAGGAATACAATAAAGCAGCCCATAAGTAAAGGCATGAGGCCCTTAAAAATTGTTAAGGGGTAAATTATTTCCAACAAAGTCTACTATTACTGATCTCATGATATAAAGATTTGTATAGTAAATGCAGCTAATGGGATGCTCGATTTTGTCACAGCAATGAGAAAAGTAACTAGCACAGACTGATATAAGTGTACAGTCAGAACCAAGATTATTTTACTACTTAATTAATTAATGAATAAAGACTGGTCCAGTTCATAGAAAGGATCTCCTGCTGGGTGTGGTGGCACACACCTTTAATCCCAGCACTCGGGAGGCAGAGGCAGGCAGATCTTTGTGAGTTCGAGGCCAACCTGGTCTACATAGTGAGTTCTAGGACAGCTGGGGCTACAGGGAGACCCTGTCTCAAAAAGACAAAAACAAAAACAAAAACAAAACAAAAACAAAACCAGAAAGGATCTCCTGCCTAAAAAGTCTTCAATTATGCCAGCATCATAGTTTTAACAGGGTTTCTTTAGTTGATTATGACTAGATGCTGTAAACATCAATTTAACGTTTTGCTATGTACTTGTTGTTTCTCCCTCTAAGCTACTTACATTAATTCAAAACCAAAAGCCTGGTTTTTGCAGACTTATCTCTGTACTGTACAAAGCAAAAAGATCTTTGACTGTTTTGTATTTTCTATAATGTTTGTCTGGGAACTTACAAAGCCCTATAGTTCAACAGTATGTACACAGCTAATGCTCATTTATTACGTTATACTATATATGTGGTTTGAATTCAACTTTCTTTTATGTACTTTGTTTTTTTGTGTATGAGTGTTTTGCCTGCTTGATGTAAGCATACCTGTGTTGTGCAGTGCCCACAGAGGACAGAAGAGGGTGTCGGATCCCCTAGAACTGGAGTTACAGATGGCTGTTAGCCACCATGTGGGTGCTGAGAACTGAACCCAGGTCTTCTGCAAGAGCAGCCAGTGCTTTTAACTGAGTCATGTCTTCAGCCCCTTACCTTTTTAAAAATAAGGTGATACTGCATAATATTATGTTCCTATTCAAACAATTGTCATCTGCATGACTTCAGTTGTACTTGCAAAGGATTATCACAAGGAATCTCATTGGATCATTGCCTGAATATCCAGCCATTACTTTTAGCCAGTTATATGTAATTTTGCTGTAATAACACATGGCCTCATGGTCTTGGAGATGGGCCAGAGTATATAGGCTGGAGAAAGTTAGGGAGAGGTTTCATCCACGAGTCTATGGGGAAGTTATCATCCATGTTGGGTGAGGGCTTCAGATTAGCTACTTTTGGGTCATCTATGCACCTGTCAACCCCTCACCCATACTTTCTAAACAAACCTAATAAACTCATTGGTTCCCAGGGTGAACTTGGTGGAATTAGACAGTGGTCTGTCACCGAACCCTTGTGAAGAGGGGGTAAACACTGCTTAGTATCCCCAGGGAGAACATTCTCCACTAGATTGTAATTTTGGTGTGTGTGTGATTTTTTTATGTGTATGAGTGCTATGCCTGCATGTATGGAAGTGTACCCATGTCATGCAGTGCCTGTGGAGGACAGAAGAGGGTGTTGGACCCTCTGGAACTAGAGTTACAGATGTCTGTTAGTCGCCATGTGGGTGCTGGTAACTGAACCTGGGTCCTCTGAAAGAACAGCCAGTGCTCTTAACAACTGAGCCATTTCTCCAACCCTGGTAATTTTAGTTGTTAATATTATGTCTCATGGTATTGAGAAAGAAAACTCATAAGTAAAAGAAAATGTTAGAAATATATGAAAATGGAAATACTTTTAGTAAATAAAGATTCGTGCATGGAGATGTTTACAGACTGGGAAGAGAAAGAGAAACCTTAGTCAAGCTATAAAGGTATGTGAAAGTTACTTACTATACAGAAAAGATGAGACTTAAAGATTATACTTAAAATTTCTAGGATCAATGTTAAAATCTACTCTTGGTAGCAATTACAAGTGATGCTTTAAAGAACAAAATATATGTCTAATCGAGTTTTATTTCAGAGCACTTGGGTTCTGCTCAAGCTTTAACCAAGTATTGCACAGTAGTTAAATGGAGGAGACTGGCATAACTGACCTGGGTGTTCAGTAACTGCTTGGCGGTCTGTAGTAATGTGGTCAGAGGAACTTAAAAGGACAATATTTTGTCCCTTTTCCTCCAAGGTTAGCTAGGTCCCAGGGGACTGTGGGGAAGTCTCTTTTAATGTCCTGAAACTCCTGGTGAGACTTTTGTTTTATTGTTTGGGAAGGTCATGGAGACCCCTACCAGGTGAACTCTAACTAGAGTCCGGTCGACAAAGTGCAAGGTCAACTCAGGAAGAAATTTCCTTCATGTTTCCAAATGAAGCCATGGTCAAGAAAGCCCTTTGATTTATCCTCATAGATGAAACAACTAGTATAAGGAAGGTTAAAGGAGTCAGAGGCCCCTTCCAAGCTTAAGTGACCCCTAAGGACATGACGCTCAACTGACCTTGACATGAAAGGGAGATGCCTGATTTGGTTGGCTGCATGGACTTAAACACCCAACAAAAAAGTATCACCAAAGACTAAAATGATTGGTATTGTTTTTAACAGCCAAGGGATCACACTCTGTGGACATGATGCTTAAGTCCACATGAGATGTCATTTAGACAATTATATCTCACTAATGATCATCTCCTTGATAAAAAAAATGCTTCCTATAAGACTTCAGACTTTGACTCAATTCAAAACTGCAGTGCTTACCTGCAGCCAAGAGAGACAGGCTCATTATTGTTTTAACCTAACAATTCAATGGTGGCTAAATTTCTTCTCGCTTTCTCTCTAGAAGCCATTTGGGAGAGAACTCATACTATGATTCTAGCCGTCCCAACAGCTATCAAATTGCCTAAAAGAAGATCAGAATTCATCCATCTTGAGTCCTTTGGAGACTAAAAGAAAAATGAGGAGGAAGCCTTCCCCAATGCTCTGGGCCTCGACAACCTTTGGAGCATCCTGCTCTTTCTCTAGAGCTCCCCTCCCCACCGTGTGGCTGCTAGTGTGCCAAGTGTCTGAAGTCCACGCTGACTTTAAATGGCGTGGGTTTTTGTCCCTTTCTCTTCCATTCTCCACAAAGCAGCTGCTGACATTTGTAGCTTACCTGTCCTGAGGGTTTTTCTTTTAAATTGTAATAAAATTTTCCTTAAGGTTCCATTTGAGTTCATTCTTAAATTTGTTTTATTAATGAGACATCTCTAAGAGAGGGCCACCCATTTATCACTTTAAATATAGTATTTATGAAACAGATCTCAAGTCAGAGTGGCCAGGGAAATGGCTGCCTGGCACTGTCTAGTGTGAGGATATTAGGCTGCTACGCTGAAATGTGATAGCCATCACCCTGCCCTTTGTCAGAAAGCACACGAACACATCCCTGTTCTTACTTTACTGTGTGCTACAAAATACACCCTCCTTATGAGAGTTGCTTACGTTCATCTTCCAGGTTGCCTAATCAGTGTTCAATTAGACCTCAGTCCACTACGTAGGTTACCTCTACCTTGGATACTTTGGAGGACTTCACACATATCAGCCCAGCCATCTAGCAGGGGGACAATACCTAGAATTTGGAGTCACAGGAATTCATCTTAACCATACTACCTTTTCTGTGGGCTTCTCTGAAAGCACTAGTGCAGTTGATCTCCATCGTGTTATTTCCAGCTTCCAGCAGAGTCCTCTTAGTGCACCTCTTGGTTTCATAGACTGAAAGTAATAAAAAAGTGAGTTCTACTATATTGTCCTTGTTCAAAGAAGCCCAGCTGAAGTACTCCTTACATAGGAGCATGCTTCTATGCATTTCCATCAACCAGAGAGTGGGAAACGCTATGAGAGGCGCTATGGTCCCTTGTCATTTCTTATGTACTTTATATATGAAAACTACCCTGAAAAGGATTATGTTTACCAATCTTGTCCCCAGCCTCCAGGTGTTATTGAGAGGTGGCTGATTGAACCTTTTCAGGGCTTGAAAATTTCATGAGTGTCTTAAAATGACAGGAGAATAGGGACTGGAGAAAACCACATCTAGATTAACATATTAAAGAAACCAGATTGCAAAGAAAGTTCACAAAACCTTCATTATCTGGGTTTCTTCCAAAAACAAAACAAAACAAACCAAAAAAAAACACCACAGTATGTTGAGAAAAGCCTGCACTCTACACACTTGGAGCATCTGGGTATTATATAAACACCTTAAAAGGGGTCATGACTCAGGGTGTTGGGGATTCTTTTACCGGCTTATTAGCCCACGTCTATTCTTGGGAATGCTTTTCCTTTCTCAATAAGCCGTTTCCCTTTTTTGTACCTAACCATGGCATCCGAGATGGGACACTTTGCCTCAGGGCGCAGGATCCAGTACTCAGCTGCCTTCTCAGCTCAGCTCCACAGCTTGGCATCCCCCAGCATGCTTTCAGTGACACTGTGGACGTTCTCATTGCTTCTCTCACCTCCACGTCTTACTTAAAAGGCTGGAATTTCTCTCCAGTGCCCAGTCTCCGGCAGAGGCTGAGACTGACAGCGTGCCTGTACTATTGTTCTCTCCACTCCTAAGAAAATTGTTCTCAAGCTTCTTGCTCAGTCTACCTCTAATTTTTTTGAATTATTGAGACTGACCCCCCCCCAAGGTACCTCAGTTTCCATGGTAACCTTAACACATTGACAAATTGACAATTTTACGGCAGTGTTGGGACCTGGGAAGAACGGTGAAAATGGGGATCTCTATGTCCTCTGCAAGGAGTGCATGCCGGAAGTTCCCGATTCTGCTTTCGGTTTTCACCAGGGTTCACAGCTTAGTGTTAACATTGTTTCAGAGAACTTGGGCTTCTGAGAAATCTTAAAAGTGAAGAGACTTTGAGGACTCCTGGAGACAGGCTAGATGGATTTTGCATTATGAGATGGATATGAATATTTATACACTCAAGGTGGAGTGTGACGTTCTAAACACGAACTTTTCCCTCGAAAGGCTCATGTGTCAAAGGCTTGAGCCACAGCAGCAGCACTATTGAAAGGTGATTAGATTGCAAGGCTTCTAACATCATTTTATTTATCCACTGATGGATTCATAAATTAATGGCATTTTGTGAGATGGTAGAAACTAGGAGGTGGGGGAGGTGAGCCACTGTGGGTGTGCCTTTGAAAGGCACACCTTAGTCCATGCTCTCCGGACCTTCTGCTAACATTAGGTGAGGTCTGATATTGTCTCACTGCACATAGACCCAGTGGCAATAAAGACAATTGACTATCAACTAAAAACTGAAAGTGTGACCCTCCCCCCAATAAATCTTTCACGCTTGAAGGTGAATTGCTCAGGTATTTTGTCATTGTGATGAAATGTGATTAACTCACTTTTTCTCTTTTGAATGAAGATTTCTACTCGAGTGGAGGGTTTGCACAAAAAGTCTCAGATTTTGGGAGCTAACAGATTTGATCCTTCAGAGGCTCTGGCCATTCCTGGTCCCAATTCCCTTCAGGACACATTTCTTACCGATACCCAATGTGGTATTTTCACCCTTTGTTGGTAGAGCCGAATTTTCACTCCATATGTGGAGTTCCACTTGCTGAAGTATCTTGGTCACCTTTTTTGCAAAGTCCTTTTTGGTTCCACTTTTACTCAGTTCTCCCTTCCAAAGAGATGTATCTAGTTAGATGGAGTCTCACTGTAATTTAAGAAATCAGAAACAAACCCGATTTCTCATTGCTTCTCTGACTAGGCGTGGTGGCGCACGCCTTTAATTCTAGCACTTTAATGCCTAGCAGAGGCAGGTGGATCTCTGTGAGACTGAGGCCAGCCTGGTCTACATAGAGAGTTCCAGGCCAGTTTGTGCTACAGGGAGACCCTGTCTCAAAAACAAAGCAAACAAAACAAAAGACAAAAAAGGAAGCAAGCATGTGCATGAGTTTGGCTGAAGGGTCCCAAAAGCCAATAATGGTAATCAATGTGCTTTGGGTTCTGTTGTGCATTTTAGGCGCATGATACAAGTCTTTGATGGACAGCCGAGGCCTTATAAATGCACCCCAGAGCTTCTCAGTCTCCATGGACATCAGACTGGGTCATTTTTGGCTGTGAAAGCCTGTCTTGGACACGTTACGAGGCTAAGCTATAGCACTGGTCTCTATGAGGTAGGCACCACGAGCCCCCCTCCCCAAATTATGTGAGCAACATTTGCGCCACAGGTATTTCCAGATTCCCTTGGGACAGAGGACAAAATGGACCATGGATGAGAAATACTCTGTCCTAAGAAACACAGGGAGCCACTGTAGCGTTCCCCAAACCAGAGTTGACTCTGCTCACCCAAATATCCACTTGTGATTCTGATCCTGTCTTCTTCACTGGAAAAAGATATTAGCAATGAAGTCAGACCCAGGAGGAAACAAACCCAGCTCATATTCATCTTTCCAGCCACTCTCAAGTTGGATCCTTTCCTGATTGCTCTGCAGTCCATCCAGTTCCCTTTTGAGAAGGTGAAAAGGCACTCTATGGTAGCATTTAAAAAATGTATTTGCCCTTTCGTATGCGTGTGTGTTTAAGTATTCTTTGACACAGTCTGTTGTTTCCCTCTTGTATCTGTCCCTCATCAGACCCTCCGATGCCCAAGCCTCATCCTTTCGTGTACCTTTTTCTATTTCCTTAATATTTTAATTGAAGTTGTGCAAATTTCATACAATAGACTTTGACTGCATTTAGAGCCCCATCTGCCCTTTCTGCCCCCCACCAAATATCATGCATTCTACTTCTCTATATATGGTTATAGAGTCACATTTGTGTCTCCAAATGTCCTTTGGGGTAGGTCCACCCACTGGAGCCTGGTTAACCTACCATAGTCTCACTCTGAAATGAAACTGATTCTCCCTCTTCCAGCAGCCACTGCTTGCTAAATAGTTCAAGTAGGGTGAGGTTTCTCATGGACTTCCTCATGTCAATGCTGAGATTTTTGTCTGGTGTGAGCTTATGTGGGACTTGTGCATGCTGTCACCATTGCTGTGAGTTCCCACGTGTAACTGACCAGCTATCTGGGAGACTGTTTCCTGACAGCCCTTTGTTCTAGGCAGAACCACAGAATTTTAAAAGGGGCTGTGGTATCTATTGTGTAGCTGCATCCTGGGATTGAAACCTGCCCTCCTAAAGGAGGCTCATTAAGTAAATGAAACTTATAAGTCTCAGGAAGTGCATGGAACTCACTAAATTCACAAGACCCACCCCCAACTTTGTACAAGCCATAATTGTTGAGGAGGGGGAGACTGTCCAATCGGATCATCTGAGCTGCCCAAAATGTGCACAGGGAGCACCACGGATGCAGTTTGGGGACTTGCCATTCTCGGGGTGGGCTTTTCAGGGATACAGCTCCCTTGAAGTCATCCACCCTCAATCACACTCTTGCTGGTAACTCCAATAAACTCAGTGGGTCACTAAGTTAGACCTGCTTTGTTATCAGTGCCTTACCTGGGGTGAATAGATATTTGCTCATATAGTCCCAGGAAGAGTCATACAATACAATACAGGTGAGTTTGTATTGTTAAAGGTGCATGCCTTTAATCCCAGCACTCCGGAGGCAGAGGGAGGCAGATGTCTGTGAGATCAAGGCCAGCCTGGTCTACATAGTGAGTACCAGGCTAGCTGGGGCTACAAGGAGACCTTCTCTCAAAAAGACCAAAAAAGCCCCATTTCTTATTATTTTATTCCAATAAATTCTGGGGTATGTTTTGTTTTGCTAATGTACAGCTAACACAGCAGTTTCTGTTGCCATTCTTGTTTACAGAGGAGGCATTTTAGTTTATAGTCTCACCACCATACAACTGGTAAATAGAAATGCCAGTTCTTCAATCAGAATAATTAAAAATGTGATATTTTTATGTGGACTGAACAAGTAAATTCTAGATAGTGAGAAGTTAGCTTATCATTGCGATAGAAAGAAGTTGTGAATAAAGGAAGAGGGAAGGCTTGGTATTGCAAGTATGAACTCGGAATTTATTATGTAGACAGATGGACATATGAACTGAATTTGCTGCTAGTGAGAGATGAAGAAGCTGAGAAGTTGTGAAGAAAATTCTAGGTATCTATTTGGAGATCCAGGAAAGAGACCTGTATTGGAGACATTTTTGAGAGGTGAGTATATGGAAATGTTTATTGATGGCATGGAATAGGATGACATTCCAGTGGAAAAGACCATCAAATACAACAAAGGGATGAAGATGATGGTAAGTAAAAAATTCTAACTCTTAAACTGGTCAACACTGGCATAGCTATCACAAGCTCTATCTGGCCAACTCCCTTTGCATAACAGAAAACATACCTGAGAGACTTACCATAACAATCTGGATGGTCAATATCAAATAGACCAGCTACCCAGTTGATGATAGGATATTTTATCACACAGCTGCATATGTAAGTACCAACTTTATTTTTACAGTAGGATACTTCTTTGCATACTGGTGTGATAAATGCACATTCATCAATATCTGTGAATCAAGAGAAGATGCTATTTAGTGTTTTTATATTACTATATCTTTTCCCCATATCTGTGGAGACTCCACTGCCCAACTGTTCTCCCTGAATTAATTTATAAACTCAGTACAATTCTCCTTTAGTTATTTCTCATATTACTGTTTTCAAACAAACAACTTAAGGAAGGAATGGCTTTATTTTGGCTTGTGGTGTACAGGAGGGAACAGGCCTTTCTAGCAGGAAGAGGTGGCCTCAGGTATATGAGTGGGTTGTTCACTTTGCCTAAGAAACTAGGAAGTAGAAAGACAGATGGATGCTGGTGCTAAGCTGACTTTTTCCTTTTTCTTCTTTTGTTTACTCTACAATTCCAGTACATGGAATTCTGCCACCCACACTCAGGGTGTGTTTAACCTCTTCACTTAAGTCTCACTGGAAACATCCTCATGGACATGCCCACAGGTGTGTCTTCTAGGTGATTCCAAATCCAGTCAGGTTGACAGTGAAGATTATCACAAATAACAGTAAGAATTCTACAAGTATTTTATAGTGTAAGACCCTCAAATACAAATAACCAGACAGACCATGAGGTGGGGACCAGCCTCGTAGAGACTGACATATCCTACGAACCCTCAGAATAATGATGAGACAGTGGTGAATGGATGAAGAGAAAATGGAATGGTAGACTAGGCTTAAAGCCGAGAACCAGATCTAAGGACACATAAAGCCTGAGATCAGGAAGCCACTAGTGTTTCTGACAGTGTATCAGATTGCCAAATTAGGGGAGAGTACCTACTGTAATGATGATTCACAGAGGTTGTTAAATTGACTTAAAACACACTCATCAGCCAAGAAGCTGCAGTGGTTTAAATGAGAAATATCCCCACTAGGTTCTGGTATTTGAACACATGGTTCCAGATGGCAGCACTGTTTGGGGAGGTTATGGAACTTTGATAAGGTATAGCCTTGCTGGAGGAAGTATGCCACTAGCATGTAGGTGTAGAGTTTACAGCCTTGCCCCACTTCTTCCTCACTTGCCCTGCTTCCTGTGTGTGGTTGGGTTGTGCTCTCTCAGCTGCCTGCTGCCTGCTTCTGTGCCTCCCCACCATTATGGATGCTCCCTCTGGAACTGTCAGCCCAAATAAACTCTTGTATAAGTTGTTTTGGGTTATGGTGTTTATTGAGGAAATAAAAGAGTAGCTAATAAAATAGTTGATACTGAAATGTGGGGCTGTTGGTATGAATAACATGAGCAGGTTTTTTTTTGAGGAATGTGGAAGACTTTGAAGGTTTAGACTAGAAAAGCAGTTGAACTCTGTAAGTAGAGCTTAATGAGTGGTTGTAGTAGGAGCCTGGAAGGCAGTAGTGCTGAGAGCAATGCAGATAATACTGGAATAGCTTAAGAGGTTTCAGAAGAGAACAAGTCTCTATTAGCAACTGGGCCAGACACTACTTTTGTGGTATTTTAGCAGAGTCTAGTTATTTTCTGTATGTGTCCTGAGAATTTACATGAGGGTAAGTTAAAAATAACAAACGTAACCTCAGTGCTCAGGAGGCAGAGACAGGTGGGTCTCTTGTGAGATCAAGACCACAAGCTCTACATAGTGAGTTCTAGGCTAGTTGGGGCTCCAGGGAGACCCTGTCCCCCCAAAACAAAAGCAAAAGCAAAAACCCAAACAAAATAGAACAAAAGAGGACTTATTTCTTTGGCAGAGGAAATTTTAAGACAGCATAACATTGAATCTGTGGAATGGTAATTACTAATTATTCTCATTCAGGTCTACAATTAAAAGTAGCAAGTGGACAGAAAGAAATACAAAATGTGCAGCTCAGGGAGAAAAAAAGCACTAGGTTCATGTAACAGCTAAGGCATGTGCTGAAAGGAAGACTAATTGTTTAAGAGATTAGTGTCATTAAAGGGTGGTGCCTTGCTCTGCACTGAAACATTTGGAATGGTGCCCTCAGGGAAAGATCTATGCAGCTAAGCTTCCAACTTGTGAAAGGAGAAGCCAAAGTGCTTAGTCCTAGAAAGTAAGTGCTTCAATATACAAAAGCTACTGCTTTTGTGGTCAAAGAGGGTGCTGGCCCATTCCAAGATGGCAGCCAAACACGGCAGTGTCATCTACCTGGTAGTGGCTTTAGAGGTGTTAAAGATGCAAATGTGAGGGTGTCATGGGTTCTCCTTAAGCAGTTTCAGAGAGTCAATGAAGCCTGGAAAATTGTGGCAGTACTGAGTTACCTGTGTGATGCTCCTGAAAGAACAGGAGGCTTGAGAAGTCATTGCATGAAGCCATGAAAGTGAAGCCTGGGTTGTGGTGGAAGCCCCAAAATGTTGGAGATGCTAGAGCCATGAAACATCTGTCAAGAAGAGCTGTTTACTGTTTAGAGAGTGGAACTAGTCCAAGAGATATATGTATGTTGTAGATACAAAGCTGTGGGGCAGAGCCATTAAAGTCCTCGGAACTAAAATCTTGGACACTGGACATGGATCTATAGGATTTGCTGTTTTCCCTGTTGGGTTTCAGTCTTTGGTCCAGTATTTGTCATTGTACCTCTATTCCTCCCTTTTGATATGAGAATGTATGTTCTATTCCTTTATATGTTGGTAATATGACATTTGTTTTATGATTTTACAGGGATTGCCTTGAGTCTCAGGAGAGACTTTGGATCTTTGAATAGTGTTGAGACTGTTAAAGCCTATGGAGACTTTTAAAGTAGTACTACATACATTTCGCATTATGACATGGCCATGAACTTATGGGGGTCAGGTAATCTTGTGTAGTTTCAATGAGAAATATTCCCCATGGGCTCAGGCTTTTGAACACTTGATCCCCAGTTGGTGGTGCTGTTTGCAGAGGTTTATTAAGTGTGATCTTCTGGAGGAAGTATGCCATTGGGGCAGACTTTGAGAGCTGACAGGCTCGCCCCACTTCCAGTTCACTCTGTGCATGGCTAAAGATATGAGCTCTCAGTGTCCTGCATTTGCTGCTATGCCATCATTGACTACCATGCTTTCTTGCTCTGATGGACTCTTCCTTTTGGAATCATGAACCAAAACAAACTCTCTCTTCCATAAGTCACTTTTTGTCACAGTGTTTTATCACAGCAACAAAAAAGTAGCTATCACAATGTGCAATAGGAACACAAGACCTCTCCCAGAAAAAAATAGGTGTTATGTAAACCACCTATAAAGGACAAGAACTAACGTGGTATAGGACTGTTAAGCTTTTGTTTTTCAAATTCACCAGCCCATTTCCAGCTTTCAGAGTGCCATTTTTCTCTCTTAATAAACTGCCCTTGTTTTTCTCGCTATCCCTATGTCCTTGGGCTAAGACATATCCGTATGTCATTGTTCCAGGACACAAGAACTCAGAAATCTCAGGGGTGCCTTTCAAGGTTCTGCTACATAGCTATAACAAAATGATCTGTCCCTGCAAAAATCCATCTGTCCTGCTGGCTGACTAGAGTTGAAGTTTAAGAAAGGAGATTGTTATGGGTAGTTTTAATTGTGAACATGACAGAAGGTAGAATCACCTAAAAGGTGCAAAAATCATCTGTCCTGCTGGCTGACCAGAGTTGAAGTTTAAGAAAGGAGATTGTTATGGGTAGTTTTAATTGTGAACATGACAGAAGGTAGAATCACCTAAAAGGGAAGTCTTAACAAAGTCTTGCGTGGATTTGCTTGGCTTGTGGGCATGCCTGTAAGGGATATTCTTAATTGGGTTAACGGAGATCTAAGACCCATCCTGATGGTGGGTAGAGCCATTATTGGGTTGGACTCTGCCTGAAGGAAAAGGAGAGAGCTAGTTGAGCACTGGCATGTATGCATTTATTCTCTCTCTGCTCTTGACTGGCTGTGACTAGCTGGCTCAGGTGTGTGCCACCTTGATTTCGACACAGTGATGGACTGCACCCTGTAAATGTGAGGCAAAATAAACTTTATCCTCTCTAAGTTGCTTTTCTTGGAGTATTTTTTTTCACATAAAGAGAAATTAAATCAATACCTAAACCAACAGAAGTTTCCCTGGGGCCAGATCCCCAGAAACCACCCATCTAGTCAGAGATGTAGGGACAAGCAACCCTGCTGAACAGCTGAACTTCTGTCAGTTATTCTAAGATCCTGGGCTCTGCATGGCATATCAATTTGTGAATCAGGACAGAAGCATGTTTAATAATGATTGAAGGAGAGCATCATAGTATCTTTACCTTCACATTTCACATGGGGCTCAACAAACAATCTCTTCTCAGCACTGGACCAGAATCCCTCGTGACAAACACAGTGGGTGCTGTTGAAGCAGACAGCATTTTCACTGCATTGAGCGCAGGAAGCTGCAGGGAACACAGCTTTCATTTATTTGTTTGTTCATACTTCCATTCAAGAAATATTCATTGAGTACCTACCAGATACCATGGTTATAACAATGTCCTTCGGGGGACCTATTTTTTATCTACCCCTTGCTCACCATAAATGCTCATGATGCCTGCCAATGTCCATATTCTTCCATAAACATCTATTTTTCCCACTTATCAAATTTCAGTGGTGAGAGCTCATGTTTCTTTTCTGAGGTTTGTCCGGCCACCCGGTCTTCATTGCTCTCCACAAGACATGTGAGTAGTGTCTTCCTACCAGGAGCAGCTCCATCCATCAATGACTGGTAGGAATGAGTTTATAAAACACAGGATCACAGGATGGGGAAAGGCCTCAGTGGCTGAAGTGCTTGCTGTGCAACCATGATGACCAGAATTCAGATACCGGGTACCCACATAAAAGACTGGAAGTGGGTTGGAGAGATGGCTCAGGATTAAGAGCACTGACTGCCTTTCCAGAGGACCTGGGTTTGATTCTCAGTACCCACATGGTGGCTAACAACCATCTGTTAATTCCAGTTCTAAGAAATCTGACATCCTCTTCTGACCTCTGTGGACACTGCGTGACACAGGTGCACTTACATATATGCAGGCAACACACTGATATACACAAAATAAAAATAATAAAATACATTTTTTAAAGCTGAGTTCAATTGAGAGGCTCTGCCTGACTAAATAGAATGGTGTGCAATCAAGGAAGCCACTGCAACTTCATTCCTCTACATGTATGTGTACACATGTGCATATGTACCTGCACACAATACTTATGCCCCACACTCATGTACTCTCCTCCCCCCAAACACTCATACATGTATACTGTTGAGTAAAGACCTACATAACTAAAAGTAAGGTATGAAGAAATTCATACATCATACCAGCATTATCCGTTATAGCTAAAATGTAGAACAACCCAATCAATGATTTAGTAGATCACTGAAAAAAATGTATTATATCCATATAATGGGATGTTATTCAGCTTGAAGAAGGAGGGACATTCCAACACATGCTATATCATGTACATGACACTCAGTAAAACAAGGCATTTGTACAAGGAAACATATCAGTGCCTCCATTCATAACCGCAGACTGGGTACTGGAAGGTGGAGAGTGGATGGGGCACTAGTGCTAACTACACTGGGTGCTCCCGTTGGGGTAAATGGACAGTCTGGGATTCAGCTTGAAGAAGGAGGGACATTCCAACACATGCTATATCATGTACATGACACTCAGTAAAACAAGGCATTTGTACAAGGAAACATATCAGTGCCTCCATTCATAACCGCAGACTGGGTACTGGAAGGTGGAGAGTGGATGGGGCACTAGTGCTAACTACACTGGGTGCTCCCGTTGGGGTAAATGGACAGTCTGGGGGCAGTTGGTGGGGGTAGATGGACAGTCTGGGGGC